AAACCTTATCTCTCCTTATCATGCTCTTGATCAACTGTGGGGATCAGCTGAGACACCCAAGGTGGCAGTTCCTAGATCTGTATATCTAGTAGTTGGTGGGTCCTTCATTCTGGAACTCACTTCTCCCCCCAGGGCCAAGTTTGCTGACACTCGACAAAGTGCATGTGTTTACTCCTGTTGTCTGTGGAGGGATTGTGTTAAGCAGGAAGAGAATTCTTTTCTTCTTTGAGATGGGCTTAGCAAACATTGTCAATATACGGTGGCTGAGATCATCATTGGGCTGTGTTTTAAAAATTTGCATTTCATTGCACCCAGAAATAGGACGTATACAACGGACTAAAAATCTCCAAAATCTCCAACAACAAAATATAGAGCTGGTCAAAAAAAAGGGACATAATTTTCATAAAACTTCTTGTTAAAAACTTTTGTGCATCAGTGCATCAGAAGAAATACTCATGCTAAAAATCATATCTTCATGTCCTGTGTATACATATCATCATGGGTAGGTCATTTGCCAAGACCAAGCAGCAGGTCTGTGGCCAACTCAATGGCTGAAACCAGATTTCCCAATTCCTTGACTTGTGCCTTAAGTTTGTTCCTACTCCTATTCAAGTCAACGGAAAAATTCCTACTGATGTTGATAAATTAATTAAATTAAACTGTATATCTTAAATAGTAATCAATAATTAGATAAATTCATGAAGGACAGGTCCATCAATGGCTATTAGCCAAGATGGTCAAGAATGCAACCCCATCTTCCGGGTGTCCCTAAACATCTGACTGCCAGAAGCTGGGAGTGGATGACAGGGGATGGATCACTTGATAATTGTTCTGTTCTTGTCATTCCCTCTAAAGCATCTGTCACTGGCCACTGTTGGACAGCAGTATACTGGGCTAGATGGACCATTGGCTTGACCCAGTATGGCTATTCTTATGTTAATGATGTAGGATCAAGCTCTTAGTCACTAGACCATGGTCCTTCAGAAAGGCACACACAGACTTGGAGACACACACAAATTCCCTCCACCAAAGTATCACTTGATTGATTATTTATATTGAAAGTGTGCTGATATTGAAAGTGTGCTGGCCAGACTCTCACATAATCATTGAATTAGAGACAGGTCTGACCCAGAATGCTGACTCAAAGCTTCCCAAACACTAGCACATTTCAAATGTAGATCTGATCTTTGGAAATGGGCCTTGTTTATGCAACAGGCTGAAACAAATCCTGGATCCAAACACCTTCAAAGTTTTGACCTGGATCTGCACTGTACACCTCCATTTTACGGTAACCTTTGTCCTTTTTGAACAAATAGAACACGTCATTGGTGTATATGGCAAACACATTGCACATATGATTATGTGATTTTTGACTACAAAGGAGTCAGTGGGGATGCTATCACTCTGAATACCATTGAAGATTACATGCCTGTTATCTTCTATATGTGAAAAATATGATCATCCACCATTATGTAAGTATCCACTTAAGGAGGGTACTTCCTTCATAGGGGCTGACTTCTCCCAACACACATAACTACAACTCCTGCCCTTTTAACAGTTGCTACTTCTTGCCACTAACAATACCATTGGTTATAAAGAATGGGAAAAGAAACTCCACTACATCTAAAAACGGCATCCACAAATAGAAGAAAAGGAACCGAGAAAATAGGAAAGCAACTAAAGCAGAACTTGTGAGCTGCCGTCACCTCTGTCCTAACTATACTCTCCGTCCTTGTCTGTTTCTTAACCCTTGTCTAAGTTACAGTGTAAGCAACTCAGAGCAGGGGCCGCTCCTTTTCCAAGCACTCACAGTCCATTGCTGAAGCAGTAAATACTACTACTAACTTCACTCTAGTTCTGTCAGCTAGTTTATGCATTGTGACACTATACTGAGGATTAACTCTTTGCTGACCTTAATCTGGACACATATTTCTGCTATATTTTAAATTTCTGCTATATTTTAAACTCACAATCTGTTGGTATTTGAGATGATGTATCCAAAGGCTTTTCCTTCTGTCTCTGGGAATACTTTCACATCTGGGGACAGTTCACAGCTGTTTTTTTCCTGCCATGACCCCAATTTCCCGAATATACCCTCTTTGTACTTTCTGAGAAGTTCCTCTGATATCAGATTGTGGTCTCTCCTTTTCTCTTCAGCAGCCCTGTAACGATGGCCCTCTAACGGCTGTGCTCAGAGTTTGCCTGTCGTGACCACTAATTCCCCATAATGCTGTACCCGCAGTCTGTCTCTCATATCTATGGACTTCTCTTGATAATACCATAGGGTTAAGAACATAAGAACATAACATAAGAACAGCCATACTGGGTCAAACCAATGGTCCATCTATCCCAGTATCCTGTCTTCCAATAGTGGCCAATCCCAGGTGCCACAGAGGGAATGAACAGAACAGGTAATCATCAAGTGATCCATCCCCTGTTGCCCATTTCCAGCTTCTGGTGAACAGAGGCTAGGGACATCATCCCTGCCCATCCTGGCTAAAAACCATTGATGGACTCCTACATGAACTTGTCTAGTTCTTTTTTGAACCCGGTTATAGTCTTCGTCAGTTTGGACACACCACATTTTGGATGAAATTCACCCCCTCACTACAAGGCTTATGCCCTGATTGGGTCGTGAAAATAAATGGAGCTTAGTTCAGTCCTGTGTCCTAGAAAGCAAAAGAAGACAAGCACACACGAAAGGGGAAAGACAGGAATACCAAGGATAGAAAATGAAGCTTAAGTCCCTTTCACTTGCAGCCTCACTTTTGGAAAAACACAAGCACAGCATATCGTCTTAGCAGCCACACCAAGACCTGGCAAAGTTATACCAAGGCTGTTTGGGCTATTGCTCTTAGCTGCCTCTCTGGTCACAGGCTCACAGCAGAATTGCAAAATATAGTCTTGGCTGGCTAAGCCAGACTCTTATTAGACAGAAGGCAAAAAGAAAGGGATAGGAAAGAAGAGAAATAAGGTGGGGGAAGAAAAAGGACATACTGGGAGTGGGGGAGAGGATGTGACAGGGTATCACATACCAGGTGGTGTTCAGGATTTAGCCTGAGCCAGTGGAGGTGGTGACATCATCTGGATCCCTCATTTTGGCCTGTGGTTTGGTCAGAACATCTCTCAGGATCAGGATGACGAAGGCACAATTGTGTCATGCTGAATCCCAGGGTCCCAGGAGGTGGTGGGGGTAGCAGCCATGAGCTTGCTTCTTCCCCTTTACACTTAACCCTTTACATATTCAAAACAAGGGGAAGACTGGGGGGTAGAGAAAGTTGAAAGCAGGGAGGGGAGTAGTTCTTGGGGGCAGAGAAGGAGCTAATAGAGAAAGTGGAAAAATAAGTTATTTGGGGAAAAAGAGGAGGAGATCTTGGGGTAGAGAAGGGCAAGTTGTTTGGTACAGTGAAGCTGGCAAACAGGAAAACTATTGGGGGCATATATTTAAAATCTTGGCAACAATGGAATGTACAAACTCTTCATTAAAGTGGCCTATGTGAACTTGTTCTCCAAACCTAGGAATCTAGATACATGTGTTACTGGTTGGAAGCATCTTAAGTTTCAACAAAGTTGACTATCAGACTCACTGTGAAGCCTTCCATTTAGTTAGTTAGTTGAAATATGTCTAATCCTATCTCCAGGTGCTTTCCCATAAGAATAATCACCCCAATAAATATATTACATACTGGACTGACAATAACATCGACCCATGAAGCCAGCCCTACCAAATTCTTGTATGTTGCTACACTCTCCTTCAGCCAAACCCTTCCCCAAGCATCCAGGAAATAAAGTGGGTTTTGCTACCTGGCCATGATGTTAACAAACTTGGTCTCTGTTGGACGACAGCTACGATCACGTAAGTTCCTCTCCCTGTTCATCAGATGTGAGCTCAACACCTTGACCAACCCTCCTTTTCTTCTCCCTCTCTCTTGCTTTCTCATTCTCATCACCATGGTATGCGCATGCTGCCCACTAACTCCATATGCTGTTTCTAGCAGTTTAGGGAGCCTTGTTTGGCTCTTACCTAGTTTTGCATTGTTGTGGGTTCTCATTTCAATCATCACGAGTGTTTCCTCCTCCTGAGTTATCATGATGGAGTCTCTGTAGTTGTGAGCTGTCATCGGCCACCTCCCTTGGTTGCAGAACAGCTAGGCCTAAACTTCAGAGGCCGTGGCTTCCTATCCTTTGCTTAACACTGAAATCTGGCAGAGGGTGGCCTACGCCAGGCTGTATTTCTCTGCTACACTTGCATAAAGGTTACACTCAGTAGTTATCAGTTCACTTCGTTGTCCACTTATGGAATTGTTTCAGTAGCACTCACAGTTAGCAAATGTCTGTGTAATCAGTGAACTTTTATTCATATTGTTTGCATTGCATTAATGCCTAGCGGCCCTTGCTGAAATCACAGCCCCATTACACTAGACATTGTACAAATGGGTGAAAGTCAATCCCTGCCCCAGAAAGCTACAACATAGACAAAGGGTGGGAGAAAGAAAATATTACTTTCCCTAGTTTATAGATAGGAAACTGAGACACAATTGTTTACATACTACGTTCCAATTCCTGAAGTCCTGGCTCGGCTTTTATGATGTCCTTTCTCAGAGAAACTCCCATTGAGTAAGGATTGACTTTGCCCTACAATGTCCTTCTGGACTCTTGTGAAGAGGATTCCGTTGTTCATTATTAAACACTGTTATATTGCAGAAGAGCCTAGACTACGGACACCATTTAGGTCAGGCAAGGGGGAACTGTCCTCCTTCCCCCCCATACTTCCTATATGCCCTGTCTTCCAATCCTGTCCCCTGTCAACGAGAGAGAAACTGAGCTGTATCTCCTCCTTTTATGGATCCCAGAGATTGTAAATGCTGGCTGGCTGCTTAGATGGTAAATGACACGCCCATTAGGGGAGCACCACTGAGACACAGCACAGGGTCACACTGCAGAGAGAGAGAATCAGGAAACTGGAGAGAATCAGGAAGCAAGCCTGATAAGGCTTTTCCTGGACAAGTTTGTATGTACCGTGCACGGCTCTCTGGAGAGCCCAGCTCTCCAATGGAAGCTTTTTAAAACAAAAACCTGTATGGAACCTATGGATACCCAGAGGGCTCGGAGATCCACTGCTTGGATTCACCAGTGAAATGCCTGTAGCTGGGTGAGAGGACATGTTCTTTCCCTTGCTCTCACCCACTTTCTTTCCCTCCTCCTTATCTCCCAGTGTGCAGACCTCCCTGCTATCCTTCATGCTGTGTTTCTCACTGTTCACCTAACCCCAGTGCTGTGCACCTGCCATCCTTCCTGCAACGTGTCCCACTGTTCACCCTCGGTGTTATTTCCCTCTGTTCTCAGCCACAACCTGCTTGGAGCAGTTTGCCCCACCCATGCTGGGGTTCCACTCCTCACACTCACTTTCTCGTCTCTCCTCAACTTGCTGGGACTGTTCCCCCTCTCCATTCTCCCTTCCTGCTTGGATTACCTCCTCTTCACCCCTCCAAACTCTGGGGCTATTCTCCTTTGTCATCCCTCATTTTCTCTTTCTCTCACCTTTCCTATGCTAGGGAAAAGAAAACATCCTGTGCAGGTAACTGAGTGGAGGCAAAAGATACGAGCCACCTTTCCCCAAAGGAGATTGGATTTCAGGACTGTAAAAGGCTTCTTGGTTTTGCTTTATAATAAAAAAGGTCTTGTGGTTTAAGTTTTCAAACTAGATTTTCTATGGTTAGGCACCTAAATCCATTTTAGACACCTCGATAAAGGCTTGACTTTCAGGGAGCATTCATAACTTTCACTGTAGTTCGTAGGAACTTCAGATGTTCAGCACCTCTGAAAATAACCTCACTTGCTTAGTTGCTGGAGTACAAACCCTGGTATCCAATTTAAGGCAACCTAATGTGAAATTGTTGGCCTTACTTTAAAAAAACAAAATAAAAAACAGCAGTTTTCTTTTGCACTCCCAGTTCCTCTAATTCAAAGGGACTCATAGCTATGACTTTGCAGGACCCAAATCAGCAACCTCAGCATTTGTTTTCTTGCTCCATCTAGGGCAATGAATTCCAGAGCTGAGTAGCACATCAGTAAGAACACTCTGCCTCTACATGTTCAGACTGAAGGCCTATTAACAAATGCATCCCTGATGATCTTAAATGTTATGACTGAGAATAAGAAAAAAAGGAGGAAAGTGGTCTTTCAACTAGTTATTAGAGTGTGAGACAGAGAACAAAAGAACCAATAAACTCAAGGGTTCTATTTTATAATTTCATCAGTTGCATTATTACTAAGTTCTTGCCTTGTTTTTTTAATAGGGTAAGCAAGAACAGCTCTCCAATATAGTAGATTGGGGGAAGGACTGAGTTGGTGATTGGCTGGAAGGATGAGAAGTGAGGAAGGAAAGGATCCCAAGTGAGAGCTGTGGTCAGCACAGGAGCTATACTGTTAGTTGAATTCATCTGGTAGAGATTATAACTTGGTGACGATCCAGGTTCTTGAAATGCTATTGGAAAGAGGAGAAATGGCAACACTAGAATCCAATAACAAATGTCTGAGCTCTTTAGTTAAGATAAGCATGATTTTCACTAAATAAACATTTAACAAGGTATCAGAAAACTGAGCTTTATGGCAACTTGGATTGCTCCTGCTCTCCATGAAGAAACAAGCCCCTGAAAGCTCTGTCTGTGTGGTGTTTTTTATTAAAGGTGTAAACAAAAACAGCAGAAAATCTAAACAGAAACCAAAAGCCCTATTTGCTACCAACCCTCCCTGCCCCCTCTTTACCCCCCTGCTGGAGTGCCAGCTGTACCTGCAGTACAAAAATGAATACATGGCTTCATCATCATGGATGCAAATCTATCCTTCCCAGACAGCCATGGACAGTTGAATAATCAAGTAAATGTAAATTGTATCCATGCGTAGAAACGTGCTGAACTTAAAAGTTAGTAAACACCTTCAGCAATCAATTATATAGCTATTAAAGTTTGCTTTTCTCACGCAGCAGCACAGACTACTGAGTTTGGATCATTTTTCAGCTAATGTGCTTAGAAGTTTCTCTTCAACTGTAGAATTCAACGTTTTTTTTTTAAGCTATTCTCAGTTGGATTAACCAAGTTAAATTGTTTGTCAGAAAAGTAGCAAAACTAAATATATCCACTTTGATAGGTAAATGTATGGAAGTAGTTGATATGATAATAATGAGAGGTACTGATATTCTATGTCTACAGAAAACATGCTGGACAGGGAATGCAGCAAAGGAGTTGGGCTTAGATTGGAAACTCTTCTACATGGATGACAAAATGGGGGCACGATGGAGTCAGAGAGGAGAGCTGAGGAAGACGGTGTTTGAAGTTATTAGGGTAAGTGACAGACTGATGGCTGTATGAGTCCAAGTTAAAGAGTGTATCATGTTTGTGATATCACTGTATGCATGTCAACAGCGAAGGAGAGTTTCCGTCAAGACTTGAAGGTACTAGTGGATGCAACAGCCCCTGAGGAGGGGCTGTTGGTGCTGAGCGACCTGACTGCACACAAAAGCAAAACCAGAAGGGTGTGTGAAATAGGCTTAGGCTCTATGAATTAGGAAGGGAAAGTGCATCTAGACCTGTTTATTGCCAACCAATAGATGACAGCCAATACATGGGCCCAAAAGAGGGAGAGTCATTTGGTTATGCACATTAGTGATAGAAAACCAGATTGAGATGATATTGGTAATAAAATCTCAGTGGTGTCAAAATGATACCTAGAGAGATGGTAGTACTGTAACACAAAGGCCTTGCAGCAAATATTGCTGCAGAGTGTTGGGCAAAGAGGTAACTCAGCTGAAAAGAAACAAGATCAAAGTACAGAAAGTTAGAGGGAAGTCTGGCAAAGATGTTTTTGCAATCAGTACCGGATAGGTGTCTGGAAACAGATTCGGCATGAGCTGAAGAGAAATGGAACCTCCTCAAAATAACATGGATTGCAGTGGTGGAGGAGGTTTGTGGATGATGTAGATGGGAAAAAAACAAAGGAAAGAGAGGAGTGGAGGTGGTCTGGTGGAATATAAATAGTGATGCAAACTAAGAAAATTCTGGGTAAAGAAAAAAGAAATGAATCCATTGAATGGAAATGAAAAGGAATACAAAGAAACCAAATGAGCTGCCAAGCAGGCAGTGAGGAAGGGCAAAGAGAGTGCCCTAGGTGATTTGTACATCAAGCCTGTAAATGACTCAAATCTGGCTGGCAAAAAGATCTGTAACATTGCAAAAATAAGACCCAAAATGAAGGGGGATGGTATTGTAACATTATTTGTAAATTACAATCAGGGGAGATAGCTAATAATGCCCAAACAAGTGAAAGAGAGGTAGAAAAATATTTTGAGAGTTTCTCAAAATAAGCAAAAGTGGAGTTGCCAACATGTGATCCTAACGTAGTGCCTGAGTCTGACAGAGGAGGAGGTGAGAAATGCAGTCCAGGAAATGAAGAATGGTAAGGCAGCAGGACCTGATGAAGTGATGTTGGACCTGGTGAAAGGCTTGGGTGAGAGAGACATAAAATGGGTGAGCAGAGTGGTTAAAGCTTATGGCAAGATAAGAATTCCTAAAGACTGGTGCAAGTCTATCCTGGGCCCAATACATAAAAAGGGAAGTATCCAGGAATGTGGAAACTATTGAGGGATAAAGCTATTGTCACATACCCAGATGCAGCCCTTGGGCCAAAAAGTTTGCCCACCCCTGGACTAGAAGAATGGTGTAACCACTCTTCAGACAAGAACAATTCAGCTTTAGGAAAGAACTAGGAACCACAGATGCCATTTTTGTAATTTGGCAAGGGATGCAGAAATGACTAGCCCAAGACTCCTGGCTTGAGGACACGAAAGTTTATGCTCCAATATGTCTGTTAGTCTACAAGGTGCCACAGGACTCTTTGTTGCTTTTTACAGATACAGACTAACACGGCTACCCCTCTGATACTTGACCTTCAACCAAGTCTAGTTTGTTAAATTTAGTACTAGGAAGTGTTTCATCTTTATTTTTCTTGTAACCAGTTCTGACTTTAATGCCTTAATACTTGTAATCACTTAAAATCCTCTCTTTTTTGTTAAATAAACTTGTTTCATTCTTTAATAAAAACTAATCTAGTGTTGTGAGCTGTATGGGTAACTCCATTTAAAGTGGCAGGTTGTTGTATATTGTTCCCTAACAGGGACAACAGACCTAAAATATCTGAGCTGTCCAGGAGAGGGCTGGAAATTATAGAACAGACATTTTTGGGGGGGAAATCCGGGACTGGGAGTGTGTTGGGGGTCACCTTGCAAGCAATAAAACAGGCTGGTGGGAGCCAGAGTGTGGCTGGTGTTTGCTGACAGGCTACTGGGCCTGGGCCATAGCTATACACAGACACTTAAAGTGTGACATGCATATTGTTTGGCAGTTTCTGAGCAGCCCAGCTGGAAGCTACAGCAACAAAGCATTGTGAGGCATCCATGGTTGCAGAGCAGGGATGATACAGCCCCTCACTGGTCTGGATTGCACCCTGGAATGTCATACTGCTATATGCAGACAAAATAGCACTATGGGCATCCTCAAAAGAAGACCTTGAGGAAATAGCAAACCAGTGGTATGACCAGCTAAATTGGCCTGGGATGAATATGAGCATGATTAACACAGAGGACATGTGAGGTGAGTCGCCACAAGGACATTGGACATAAAAATTAATGGAGTGAAACTAAGCCAGATTGACCAGTACAAGTGCTTTGATGGCTGGGTCGTCGAAGAGGGTGAGCTTGAATCTGAGATAAAGTCCAGACTGGAGAGTGCAGGGAGAAGGTGGAACAACATCTCAGGGGTTGTGTTTGCCACTGAGACTGAAAGCCCAACTGTATAGTACAATGGTGTGCCCTGCAATGCTGTGTGGTGCAGAAGTATGGATGGTAAAGAGACAGGAGGTTCAACACCTACAGGTGTTTGAGGTGTCTTTGCACCATAAAAGAAGCTACACCAAGAGACTTATATCAAAATGAAAGTATTAGGGTGGAAGTCAAAGTCCACGATGTGGCAGACCAACTTCACTGGTTCAGACACATGCAGAAGATGAATAAAGACAGGAGAGCAGGAGAGGATGTCAGGAGAGCGTCTCTTAGGACAGCCAAAGAAGTACTGGATGGATTGCATCAAAGACGATGATAAGAAGGTGGCCCGTAGTGGTCCCTCAGACAGGCAAAGATGGTGGATGCTTGCACGATGACCTGACCCCAGTTGATGGGATAAGGGGAAGAAGAAGAAGAAATTGCTTACACTCTTCTTTCAGGTACTTGTCATGCCTTAGGCTGGGATCCTCTAATTGCTGATGGTGCCTAAGTGAGAAGATACCATGGATGAGGGGTGAAAAAGTGGAAAATTCTTACTTCCATTTGACCTCATCTTGGCTATCAGGCCTGTCTGCTTTCGTAGTCAAATGCTTGCTTCTCAGATGACGACTCATGCCCCCATGTCAAAGAAATCTGGTACCATATCAAGAAACTTTGAGTAGAACCACACTACAGGTCTCTGAACAGGACACTTTCCTCTCAGGTGAGATTGTTTATTTGACTTTAAAAACAACAAGGAGTCCGGTGGCACCTTAAAGACTAACAGATTTATTTGGGCATAAGCTTTCGTGGGTAAAACCCCCACTTCTTCAGATGCGTGGAGTGAAAATTGCAGATACAGGCATAAATATATATTGGCACATGAAGAGAAGGGAGTCACCTTACAAGTGGAGAACCAGTGTTGAAGGCCAATTCAGTCAGGGTGGATGTGGTCCACTCCCAATAATTGATGAGGAGGTGTCAATACCAAGAGAGGGAAAATTGCTTTTGTAGTTAGCCAGCCACTCCCAGTTCCTATTCAAGCCCAAATTGACGGTGTTAAGTTTGCAAATGAATTGTAGCTCTGCAGTTTCTCTTTGAAGTCTGTTTTTGAAGTTTTTTTGTTGAAGAATGGCTACTTTTAAATCTGTTATTGAATGTCCAGGGAGACTGAAGTGTTCTCCTACTGGCTTTTGTATGTTACCATTCCTGATGTCTGATTTGTGTCCATTTATCCTTTTACGTAGAGACCATCCAGTTTGGCCAATGTACATGGCAGAGGGGCATTGCGGCACATGATGACATATATCACATTAGTAGATGTGCAGGTGAATGAGCCCCTGATGGTGTGGCTGGTGTGGTTGCGTCCTATGATGGTGTCGCTAGAGTAGATGTGAAGACAGAGAAGGCAACAGGGTTTGTTACAGGGATTAGTTCCTGGGTTAGTGTTTCTGCGGTGGGGTGTGTGGTTGCTGGTGAGTATTTGTTTCAGGTTGGGGGTCTGCCTCCCAAGACCTGTGAGAGTAGAGGACTGTTTTCTAGCAGGTTGGATTTGATTTAAATTAAAATTCACTAGTAAGGAAAACTCGATTTAATCATGGATTTCTACATAAAAGTGCATTCTTGTTGGTTGTGTGACAGACCCAGAGCAGTGGGGTACAGGAGTCTGGTAGAGGGCAAATATACTGGTCACTGGATGAGTAGTTTTCTGTTCCCTGAGTGACCAGAGCAGGGGCTGCACTAGAGTAATCAGGAACGTGCTAGAACCAGTTAAGGCAGGCAGGCTAATTAGGACACCTGGAGCCAATTAAGAAGAAGCTGCTAGAATCAATTAAGACAGGCTAATCAGGGCACCTGGGTTTTAAAAAGGAGCTCACTTCAGTTTGTGGTGTGAGTGTGAGGAGCTGGGAGCAAGAGGCGCAAGGAGCTGAGAGTGAGAGAGTGTGCTGCTGGAGGACTGAGGAGCACAAGCGTTATCAGACACCAGGAGGAAAGTCCTGTGGTGAGAATAAGGAAGGTGTTTGGAGGAGGCCATGGGAAAGTAGCTCAGGGAGTTGTAGCTGTCATGCAGCTGTTACAGGAGGCATTATAGACAGCTGCAGTCCACAGGGCCCTGGGCTGGAACCCGGAGTAGAGGACGGGCCTGGGTTCCCTCCAAACCTCCCAATTGACCTGGACTGTGAGTTCTTCCAGAGGGGAAGGTCTATGGGCTGTTCCCCAACTCACATGGTGAATCTCTGAGGCAAGAAAATCTGCCAATAAGCGCAGGACCCACCAAGATAGAGGAGGAACTTTGTCACAGTTGTTATAACCTTAATACATATTCTTCACAACTCAGAGATAGATTCATTTTTAGAAGGTACACACCATATATTTTAAAAGTGATTTATTTTGAAAACTTTTCAGATTAGTTTTACAGCTATATCAGAAAATGAATGATTGTTTGGTTATTTATTTCGTTTACCAAAGGTAATTGAAGCAGATATTTATGAAGTCATTGGGAGGTGAACTATCTCCAATTCAACAGGT